CCTGAAGTTTTATTAAGACAAAAATCTGTATTTTACAACAAGCCACTGGGCACCTCTCTTGCATCACTTCAGAAATGACTTCCATATACGATCCACACACACACACACACACACACACACACACACACACACACACTCAAAATCTATGAAATGAAAAGTTTTTTCTCCTACAAACAGACTAATCTAAAAGCATAAATGTTTTATCATTAAAACTTAAGAATTATTTTAAGAAAATTAAATGTCTTTATGGCTATATTAAAAGACTCACCAATTTCTCTTTATAATATTATAAAGACTGTTAGAAAAATATAACAGTCCTGTGCACTGCCAATAAAAATGTTATGTCACAGTTTAAAGAGTTGATTGAAATATATAAAGTAACCATGGGACTACTCTCTTATACTATTGTCAAATTCAACAAATAAATTTAGTCCTCTGCAAATATTAATCCAATACTTGGAATTTCATTTGAATTGCTTATGCTGAGTCAAGCAGATATTCATTACATGCCACTAAGTTTGAAATAAATCATTCTGATTGTACACTATGTAACCCAACACTATTACAACCTTAACAAATGAGACTCTTTCCCTAAATGAAACTCAACAACCAAATGTGCACTGTCATTATTAAACTACTAAGCATAAATGGACAACTATACAAGAGTTCTAAATCATAGCTAAAACCTAATGTAGAGCATATATTTAAATATATTTAAAGTATAAATAACAAATTTTACTCTAAAAATAATCAAACAACAGAAGTCAAGAAATAAGACAGTCCTCTCAGTTGATCCCTAGAAATCTGCTGGCAAAGGTAAACGTGCAAAAGAAAACTTCACTGGCCAAGACAATTCAAAACGCTACTATAAAAAAATAGTGGAAGGAGGATTTCAGGTTAGGACTAAAAAGAGACAACAGGGGTGACTAGGTGGCTCAGTCGGTTGAGCGAAGGACTTCAACTCAGGTCATAATCTCACCCTTAGTGAGTTCAAGCCCTGCATGGGGCTCTTTGCTGTCAGCAATGAGCTGGCTTCAGATCCTCTATCCCCGCCTCTCTCCGTACCTCTCCTGCTCGTGCTCTCTCAAAAATAAACATTTTAAAAAAAGAGAGAGACAACAAAGGCATTATTTGAGTCTTCATTTTATAATGGATAAAAACTACTATGAAATATGTTTTAGAGACAAATGGAGAAATTTAAATAGAGATAGGATTTTATATTATGTAATAGAACTATTTATTGTCTTAGGTAACATTATAATAGTAATGTTTATGTGATAAGAATATCCTTATTCTTAGGAAAGCTGGGATCATTTAAAGATGGACTGTCATCATGTCTCCAACTTTCACAGTTTAGGTGAAAAAATGTATATAAATATAGATATACACATATGGAGATAAAATCCCAAATGGCAAAATGTTAAAAACTGCTGAATCTAGGTGAAAGGCATATGTAATTGAATATTTCACAGAATAAAAAGTTGGGAAATTATTTTATTATGTATTTAAGGCCTATAATAAGGTATGAGGAACAATATAAATAGTCATTAACTCACCAACCACTTTAATAAATAAAACACTACCCAACAGTTGAATACATCTCCTACCTCCCTTCCCATCATGGATAGCCACTGTCTTGAATATAATGCTAAAAAAATATGACTATTTTTCAAATTGGTCTTCTCACAAAGAAATGGATCTCAGGACCAATTTTAAAATCCCTCAAAAATATCTGATTTTAATATATTATTATTTAATTACATTTCCTAAATGGAATAGCTCCAGACTTAAGTCATTCTTCAGAAGTAGGAACTTAGTAAATGCAAACAATATGGTACTTAGGGGAAGATATGATTATCTCAACCTCAAGGCAGAAAACATACCCTGTATCCACTGTATTTCCCTATTTCCACTCAATTAATCTGCCATTCATAGAGATTTCTCTAATCTTTACATTATGTCCCCTTTTCTTGAACTTAAAATTTTCCCATCTTTTCTGTAGTTTAAAGAAAAAAACAAAACAAAACCTGAAGGAGTCACATCTGAGGGACCACAAAAAAAGAAAAAAACCCTAGGGTTGTTTCCAAATATAAAACTGATATATTAATGGTATCTTTTCAAACAATATTTTCACAACCCCCCTTTTCCCCCAATACTAAAACTTTTCTTAAATCAGTATTTTCTTATCTCTACTTATGCTTTATACTGGTGGTAAGAAATCTGCAATCTGTACAGCTTCTTTTACCTACCCTAAAGTTACCTCTTTTAAGCATCATACTATGTATCTGAGTCTGAAATTGGTGAATAAATATTATTTGCCCCATTGTCATATATTAACACTTTGATCATGTCTTCTCCAGTTCAACAAAGTTTTTTTTTAATCCTTTCTCATACAGAAGCCCAAAGTCCTTCCATTTCTAGGTTCCCTCTTCATCTATTTATGTCCATTACTTGTCAGACTAAAAACAGTATTCCAAATAAGCACCCAGCAAACGAAGACATGCCTGCAATTTATATACACTTTTTTTTTTTTTTTTTTTTTTTTTTTTTTTTTTTTTTTTTTAGTTACCTTAGTCCTTCTTTAGGCAAACTTTGTCAACTATAATGGAGGCATTATTTGGTCCCTTGGGCAGACTACCGACCAGTCTAGTCATACCATTCCAAACTCTCAGCCCCTTAAAAGTTATCTCAAGGACAAACTCCAATAATACCAATTTTCAGTGCTAATTTTGACTATTGCAGATTGAAGACTGAGCGCTACTGAAAAGAAGGGAAGCTCAGGAGGGTATAAGTGAAGTTTCTGAGAGGAATGAGAAGGGCCCGTTAACGCCTCTTCACATAGTAAAATAAATGTAAACTGGCAAAGGCCAGGCACAATGTCCTTATTAGGCTTTTTTGTTTTCCCAACATCTCCATGCCCAACACATGCTTAACAGCATAACACTTGCTCAACAGCAACTGAACAACCTTCTTCTCCCCTCTCAGAATTATAAAAAAGACCAAACTCAAGTTCAATCATTCATCCCCCAACACCAGACACAAAACTACTGCCAAGTGCTTATCCAGCTTCTCCTTAAACACTTCCAGTGACAGGAAACATACTACTCATGAGACAATCCATTATATTTTTAGAAAATTCTTCGTATGTATCCAAATCTGTCTCCTTGTAGCTTTGTATCCAAAATGGTCTTTGAAGTCAGACCAGTGTTTGAATCTTTGGACATTCACTGGCTCCAGTGATCTTGAGCTAATTGCCTTTTTGAGCCTCAGTTTCACTATTAAAAAAAAAAAAAATCCTTATCATGTAAGATTACACT